AACATCCACATCATCCTCACCGTAGCTGTCCTATTTTTTAATCCTTACAAAGGTCAAAAAAAAAGAAAAGAAAATGAGGCTGTAGATTTTTTCAAGATTCACAACCCCATTGTTTTGTTTTTTTTTTTGGGTTTTTTTTGGCCCCCAAATCACCGTCGTACGGCCGTCCGTCCGTCTGTCCGTACGGGCCGTACGGAGACCCCCCGTACGACGTACGGGGGACGACACAGAGCTGAAACTATTCACCTCTTCTCGATTGCGGCTGACATGAAAGTCAACTGGAGCTCCAAAACCGAAGGGTGGTGGCTTCACACAGCAGGTCAACCCCTACCGGAGGAGCCAACAGTTAATTGGCGACAGAAAGAAGAGGCGATACGAATCCTGGGGGTGAGACTCACAACATTGGGTCCGCCAAAAAAAGATCACGGGGACCGGCTGGTCCATACAGCCCTGCAAGCCATGTACCTCACTAGTAGGCAGGGCCTTGGCAATTAACAATGCCATTCTTTCGACCATCTGGTACAAAACAGCCTTCTGGTCCATCGATCGCAAACAATACCAGAGGCTTAAAGAAGCCATAGCCACCTACTTGTGGAGAAACGACGAAGAGCTACATTCATGCACAAAACGGGTGGCTTGGGCCCAAATAGCCCAACCTAAAAGCAAGAGAGGGCTTGCTATTATTGATCCTCTAGACCAGACTAAAGCCCTGATCTTCAAGGTGATCGACAGACTGCTCATGGCGGACGAGCCTCCCTGGGGCCCTCTGACCATCATTCAACTCGCCAACTTGGCCCCGCCAACACCTCAGGACAAATGGGTACACCCCTTCGCATGGCTGACTAATCCGGCTTGGTCCATCCCGTCCACCCCTAAGTCACGAACCGGCGACTCGACAAAGGCTGCAGCAAAAACCGATCTCACCTACGATCCGCTATGGACATCCTTGCTAGCCCTCTGGCGAGAGGTGGGCCCCAAAAAGCTTCGACCGCCGCATCGGTGGCATGAGATTTCAAGACAGCCTTGCTTCGGAAACCCACACATACTGGATCATCAGGGGAGACCGTTCTCACTTAAACAAGACATACACTGGCTGTCATGGGTCAAAAAAGGAATTTTTACTTTAGGGGATCTGTGGGATAATCAGGCCAGATGATGGAAAACGGCGACGAACCTGCGTGCCCAGCTGAAACACATCAGAAACCTTGAAGACAAATTGCAACAGCTCCATGAAGTGGTCCCCATCGCTTGGGTGCGAGCCCTTCGTGAAGGCCCGCATATCACCAAAGGGGACTGGGTAATCTTGGAAGCCTCTCTCCCGCTCCCCATGACAGTCTTCAAAGTTACAAATTGCTCAGCCTCACAGGTGGACCTGGAAGCCTATGTGCGAGCACTCCCGGGATCAAGGATGTTGCAGCTGACTCGGAACTCCGAACTGGATGTTACACAACAATTGTCGGGCCTCATGCGAATAAGAGTGCTGGGAGATGACACAGATGGATGGTGGGCCTACGAACCGACAATCCGAGTTAGCTGCCTACCATTTGACCCTGCAGAATGGCAATGGGAAGAACGACAACCGCTCCCGTTTTGGAAATTTACAGTCAAGAAATGCTACAGGAAAATCCATAAAACAAATGATACCACTGACACTGTCAAGAACAGGTGGTCCCGAGACTCACACATAGATGCCGGGGACCTGCAACGCTTCAAATGGTCACAATATACCCACCTGTCACCAGCATCTCAGAGGGCACTCCAATGGCAAATAATACACCGCTGCCTGCCGACGCCTGCATGGTTAGTGTCCAGATCACAGTTGGAACAAAGAGGAGAACTGTCTCCGCTATGCTCCTACTGTAGATCGCCTGGACAACCACAGGTTGCAAATATGGAGCACTTTCTGCTCTACTGTCCTCTAGCACGCCAGATCTGGCAATGGTGGATGGCCGCATGGGGATACCTCACGAACACAGATTTCCCATGGGACGTGGCAATTATCCTGCTGGGTCACATTTCGAAGACCGCGACCCCATGGACTGACTTCCAGCTTAACCTCTTCAAATACACAAGGCTGGATGTCCTTATGGTTGCCTGGCGTGCCAGGTGCTCGCATGAATACAAAGAACACACCTTTGGGTTTGTTCAAGCGAGGTTGCACATTATAGACACACTGAGGTGCAACATCCATAGGGCCTGGACTCAATTGAAAAAAGCTCTGAGCACAATTACAGTCCACATACA